GGTAACCAGTGAGAAGTCTTCAGCACTCATCCTACTGACAGTCCTTGGTATCTGGGATGGAGAGGCACTTTCTGTCTCTTCAGATTCAAGGGTGAGAACTTTGTTCCAAGGAGTGTGGCCCTTGCTGAACTGTGACTTGATTCTCTTGCGATCGCCTTTCATCATGATTGTCTCGGACAGAACTAATGAGCTCTGAGCACAATATGTACTTATATACCCCATCACTGTGTAATGTCACTGGCAATGACAAGCATGTAAATGTATAAGAAACTCTCAAGACATACATACATATGTCTTGTGTCAGCAGTCCAAATTGTAATACCAATCCACAGACACGTAATCGGTACTCACTTTAATAACTGGCGATAACATTTGTTGAAATATGTTCCAGCATAACATTTCTGCAATGTGTTGAAAACGTTGCAATAACATGTAATGAAACAGTATTCGCTATGTTACAGCATGATGTTCTTGAATAACATTTCAAAAACATTTCAAAAACATTTCCTGAAATAGTTTCTGGCATAACATTTCTGCAACGTGTTAAAACATTGTAATACCAGTGAAATAGTTACGCCTATGGATGATGTTCTTGACAAACATTTTAAAAACATTTCAATAACATTTTGAATAATAATAAAACATGTACACATCATGCGGATGTTTTTACATATGTGCACACAATGTATACACCTGGAACTTAATTAAGCGCCACCGAACTAAATATGACACAGAATTATGAATATCGAAAATAAGGAAACAATGATTATTTATTAGACAATATGGCCCTTTCCCCACACCATCACACTGACAATGCCACGATCAACGCAATTGGGTGTTCAAGAAATTGGTGTTTGTATCAATTCTTATACTTCTTCAATTTCATGCATTATTTGTATTTATCAATTTTAAGTTTCCTTTTAACTTATTTTAAACAGTTCACACATTATGACTTTTGTCGTGCAAGGTGCAATCTCAATCGGCAATAATCAGTTAAGTAAGTGATGTTTGAGAACAAGTAAAGTATCATCTGTCATTGTACACACTGAATAGAGTTATCACCCCTTCTGAATATTTATTTTGACACACAAGTTATTTTGTGAACTAATTTCATTGATATCGTCATATGTTTCGATGAAAATCATAGCAGAAAAAGTGTCTTTTGTCAACTGGACTCATGGCAAAACGATAGTGCGTTGTGCAGCAAACACCACTATGAAACGTGAAATAAACATGATCGACGGTCTCGAGTTCGCCAAGCCACGCATTGACTGAGCAAATTTGCAAAAGTACACTGACGTGTTGCCTGTCATGCAGTTCTTTTACGATACAAAACTTCTGTCATTGAATCTACTGTCACATTGTACCTATATGCCGACGAGGTTATGATAAAACAATCTATTTCTGAAATACGTATCTCGACAAGCACCTTTCGATTCATTTCCGGGATCCTGACAGCAAAATCCTAATTCCAGTGTATTACAGGCATATTTTAGTTGGACCTCAGGATTAAATGTGAAATATCATCTCTATTAGATACAGAGGATACCATTTTTGTTTTGTTTGAAATGTCCATCAGTGAAATGCACAACATGCTGTCTGTTCCCTAACAACTGATGCGACGTACACTGCATGGAGCTATGCTCTCCAAGCCTCGTTTTCGATCCAAGATGGCGAAAGTGTGAAAAAGGTCAATATTTCTTGGTTGTCCAAATCATCGTTTACTTCTACTACATGCATGGTTGGAGGCAAGATCAAAGTCGCCGCCCAGCTTAACTAAGACAACAGACAGTGTCGTTCGTTTCGCTTTGAACCACCACCCGCACCCTGTCGGTAGGAGTTATATAATCGGTGGCCAAATAACTGTGTCCAGTCCACAAACGGGTTTGAAGCGGTGTCTGTGTCGAATGATTTTGTGATAGTAGTGAAAAACTTCGTTGTATACCGTATATTGTTTGTTACTAACTATCCTCTTATTTGCCAAAAGAACAGAACAAAACCCCATGACCGATGCATTGGTGCCGTGATATGCAACAAGAAAGAAAACGGATATTACCAACAGTAAGTCAGCTAACTGGAACATCCACTGACTCCCTTAACCCTATCTTTCATGCACGCAAATGTAAAACATATACATAGTGAGGTCTTATATAATCCATACAATAAACTGTTCATTCATTAAGATATTGATGGGTGTAGGGAACAGTCCCTTTGAATATTTATGATTTAACACACAAAGTTATGCACAATTTAACAGATTATAATAAAATGAATATCAAAATTCATTACCACTTGCCAAGTTATATTATATTATATTATATTATATTATATTATATTATATTATATTATATTATATTATATTATATTATATTATATTATATTATATTATATTATAAATTATGACTATAAATTATGTATGATTTATGTTTATATGTAAATAGGGCTAGATTAAATATAATACTGGAACCTATGGCTTGTGTAAAAGAGGGAGAAAGTTTCAAATGAAGGTGAGGTTAAGGCCTAATATAATAGTAATGTATAGCTTTGTTAGATGTAAAGCATAACAGGATATAGTAATATAAACAGTTCGACTGTTTGTGAGAATGAGGGGCCTGCTAAATAAACGAAAAGTAAAGCCTTAACATAGCGCTTGTGCAAGACACATATTCTCCAGCAAAAGTACTTAGAAACCTGACAGACTTTTTTGATGTTCAATCTGTAATCTGTTCACAGTTTCAGTTTCAGTTTATTTCTCTGAAAAAAACAAACACCAACGGTGGTACACATGAACAGGAAGTCGATCATTCTTAAGCGTTGTTTTCACACAACAGCCGATAATCCCCCTGCTGACTCTGCTATGCTCGCCTTATTCTGCGAGAAAGAGTTCTGCTCTAGTGATCTACTGCGAGAGTAGGCTTCCTTCCCGGGAATGCTCCTGCCTTCTGGCTTCAAACGACCGAGGCATTTTTTTTGTAATCTAGGCTTGCATACATTTACATACATTTACACACGCACGCATACATACATAAATACACACCCATAATTTACATACATACATCAACGTAATGGTACATACATCCATACATACAATGCACACATACAGCCATGTTATCACACGTACATACTGAACAGGCAGGAAGCGGGTGCCTTGATTTGATTTGTCTTAATCACCGACCCATCAGTGTCAGTCAGTATGTATTCAAAACGGTGTACTCCCGGTTTCCCAACATTGGAAAACTTAGAACACAGGGATTAATGGACTAACACCTGTGGGTATGTCCCACTGTCTTTTTAGGGGTGACCGACGCTCTATGGACACACTACGATTTCAATGAATAGGAGTATGAACAAACATGCAGTCATATATTTTTTTTATTTATATAGTATTTGATTTCACATGATTTCCTTATCACAGCACATGAACATGATTGAATTTTACAATTAATATTCTAATATCACAACGGTTTATAATGTCTCAACATCAAATTTAAAATACAAATCGACAATTTATAATAAACCAACACTACATTTCATGATCATCACAATCGTACAAAATGGGCCACAGCATCTGCAGATTCAATTGTTGACTTTCTTCCCTCACGTTAGTGTCTCTTTTCTGCACCAAGTCTGGTCTCAAGATGTCGTTTCTTACTTGATATCAATAATTCATTTATGGATACCAAGAAAGAATTTATATCACAAATTTGATTTTATTATATCATGAAATGTTTACTGATATCGCAAATTAAATTGTAGATATCAATAACTGAATTTATTATACCAGATAATGTACTTTATCATCTAAAAATCAAATATGGTATAGTATCTATAGCCTTCGTGTCCGTGACCTTATGCCCATTTTGCAAAAGTTCGTGCAGATAGCTACAGTACCGTACCATTTACATATATAGATATTCAGAGGATGTCTCTGCATATATTTAGGGGCAAGCTTCGTCCCTTTATTTAATCAGTTTTCCTCCTGGCTCTGAATGTGAAATACATGCTTTACATATGTATCTTATCAATGAATTTTAATGTGATTTGAATACTATTATTTACTATTGTACTTACTTACTTGTTTTACATGAGACGTTTTATATTTATCAGAAATTACATTTATTGCTTGTAAGCTCAACACAACTGACAAATACTCAAACATATGGTAAGTAAACTATTAATGTACATTGCAAAAATATATGTTGTAAATGCCAAAATGATGTATCAAAGATCAAGTAGAAGATGTATTGACAGTAGCGCTGTGAATTTATTCAACAAGCCCGTGAAAACATCCACTGCTTTATCTCCATGTTCACCTCTCCTGGCGACCATTATGCAAAGGCCATCTTATACACGTCTACAGGTCTCTTCCTGCGGTACGGTAATTAGTAGAACCATCTACCTCAAGTGTATCCTCCATGATTAAACCTACTCTCATTAATCAAATGCTGCCCTTTCCCAGCGTCATGGCTTTCGAGCTGAGACAAAGAGAGACCCAACCATCATAAAGTAATTAGGGTCCAATAAAACCAATGCTCCGCCAAACCTCATTAACATGATCACTGAAAGTCGTACTTCAGACGTTTAATGTCAAATTACAAAAAAACATTTGAAAAGCAATAACATTTACCAGGATTATGTATTCTCTTAACACCATCGCAAAACATCATGTATAAGCCGAAACAGTACTCATACTATCCAACATACTATCTAAAAATGTGACATCAGCAAGTACATATAACAGTGTGTTTTGACACTTTTCGTCAGGATATCAAACATTTCTCACCTTCAGGTCTTTGAAAGGCAGCTATAAGTGATACACATAAGGAAGAGAATATATTGATGTCAACCTCTTTATGACGAGGAACACAGCTTTTCGGAGTAAATGCCTACTCCTTCATCAGTCGAATAAATGCCATGAATCAGAGAGCATATATATGTGCATGTAAGGACATCAAAATTAATAAGATAACAAAAGGTGGAAATTAACAAAGGGTATTGAAACTAACAAGGGAAGCCAACAGAAGGTAGAAGCTTACAAAGGAAGCCAACAGATGATTGGCGCTGATAGGTGATTAGCAATAGACAATGGAAGCCAACACTTGTGTCCCGAGTTGCAGGAAAATATTCTTCTGTCATGATCTTCATTTTGTTGCCTCGCAGGTCATATTGGTATGATCGGTGGTGGAGGAGGGTGTAGAACAGAACCGAAGCAATATGCTGAAATACAATAAAGGTTATGTAACATATAGCATCTCTGTCTGACATTACTGAGTATTATCAGAGTGCTTGAAGTAAGTTTCGTAACTAAATACATGTGCTTCATGTACATTATGATTGTAGCGAATGTTGTTAATGGGAAAAATCAGAACAAGACCTTTCGTCGCAGTTTCTTTTAACACCTCAGAAATCGTTACAGTTCACCTTGCATTTGCAATCAAATGACATCCTGTTCGGTTGAGATAAACACATACCTACTACAATACAACCTCATACCAAGTGATGTATAGTAAGATGGCTCGAGGTAGCTCATAAGATGTCCGACTTGATGTCCTGGTGATATCAAAGACATCCTGCATCGACAACCACATCTACTCCATCACCCCATGAGCGCCAACTACATCCACTCCCTCAAAACGTTGAGCAGAAACTAAATCTGCTCCAACAGCACCTGGACAACAACTACATTCACTGCATAGACATCGTAGTAATTCTCTCCAGTAAATGCACCATTGATGGTCTTAAGTCACCTTATGCTTAAACACAACTACATGGTCGTCAGATGTAAACCATAACTGGTCCAGAGAACTGACGTGACTTGTCAAGTTATATGGGTAGTTCTTATGAACAAACTTTGGTGATTGACGATGCCTCGAGGTAGCTCATAAGATCTTCCGATTTGATGTCTTGGTGATATCAAGGACATCAACTTCAATTCCCTTCCAGTTTGTGAAAACAAAATAAATGTCCAGTGCAGTACAAATTAGTCTCGTGCATCATGTCTTTATAATATAGGTCTTTAGAACTTGATCATCATATTTGGACAGTCACAAGGAACGACATGTTAAATGTGCCATTTACATACAGATATATCTTCAGGAGATTTTCAGGCTTTGGAGATGGCCTGGAGACATGATACTATATAAATACGGATGTCTCAGAATAATTCCAATACACTGGTCTTGATATACAGTTGGAAAATAATAAGGGAATGAATATAGAGAATCTCACCCGAGTGTCTTTTGATATCAAATATATCAACTCGAGTTGTAAAAATGGAAAAACTCGGAGGAGGCTTGCCGAGGACTTTTTTCACTTTCATCAATGAGTGTTGATATGCTTGATATGAAAAAAACACACGAGGGTGGGATTTTATTTGTCATCTAACATCATTCTTCCAACTTTTTTCAGTTTGTAGACAGTAATAAGCACTGTAAAAAGTACTGCTTACGGCAAGGGAAACCAGAAAGGGCTTCAAACATTGTACCCATTTCGGGAATCGAACCCGAGTCTTCGACGTGACGCACGAACGCTTTAACCACTAGGCTACCCAACCGCCCCTACTGCTAACAGCTTCAGTAGCAGCGCTATTAGTGATCTCAATTGATGTCGCTTGTTCTCACCCAAGCGATATCTCCTGTTGGAGCCAGCTTAGGGTGGTAAATAATGTTATGTTCAGACAAGTCTTTGGTCTTATTATGTTTGGTGCCCTTGTGAATTACCAAAAGGCAAAGGTAGATATAAAACTAATTTTAGAAACAAATCAACCAATTACAAACGTTATATAGATGTCATTTAGCAAACAATGTTAGAGTGCCCTTACAAATGACATAGAGACTGTTTTGTCCATTCAGGATAATTGAAAACACCATCATACCTTCATTTATTGACAGGTGGGCTGATGTCATTTCCTCCCCCACTCTGTAAGCATATTCCCCTGTGTCAGGAGGATGGACATCTGTGACAGTCAGCTGACGGCCCTTTCCATTGATAGAGATCTGTGTTTTGTCGGAATGAGTTAGTGTGACGTCGTCTCTGGTCCACTCACCGGCCTCCTCAGTGTCATCACGTAGCCTCAGTCTGAAGGTGGCCGAGTCTCCCAACATAACTGTTCTGTTCTTCAGACTAAGTTCTATACCTGGTGGCGTATTATGGAAACAATAAAAGTGTTTGTTTCTCGTTGTTTTCTAAGAATGTGATAAAATGGAAAATAGTTGGTGTTCTAAAGAGTGAGTGATTTTTGTTAATCACCGCTTTAAACAGCATTTCAGCTACAGTGTGTGTGTCAGCTTCGTATGATTTTTTAAAAAGTTGATGACGTCATATATTTTACCAAATTCTGAAAATGATTTCTCTATTCCCCAAAGACAACATTAATTCCTCTCTTTTTAAAGACAGTTATCACAAAAAGTCAACCTCCCCTGATCATGATTGTGGTAACAGAAACTAAACCCCTTCTATACATCATCATTATTGCAGAAAAAAAACCTCATTTATATCCAACCCTATCTAATAATAGGCAACATTATATCCCATATGGTTGGCCTGTTTTATTTCGATAAAAATAAAATTTATACCAAGATAAGCTTGAAAGAAATAATTATGTTTCAGATTGCTGAAAAAATCACATTGCAAGCCACAAAAAAACCCATTGTTGCAAGATGTTGTATAAAAGAAATATTTAGGCTCATCAGTCTTAATCCAAAAACGATATCTTTTTCTGTAGCTGAAAAAATACAAAATCCCGGACCATCCAGATTATCAAAGGTAGGTCTGTAAGTGTCGCAATGCTTACCATCTGTTATTAAATTGGTAAACACACGAAGGTTATTGCAGTTCGTTCTGATGACGGTTGCGCCTGCAACAACAATATTGATACACGCGCTGATGATACAGGTTCGAAACAGAAGACAACGTTTAACACAGGCTTTAGTCATCAAAACATAACCAGTACTGAGACTAAATGAGAACACATGGTCCAATGTTGCCACTGGAACTTCTTCCGCCGTCCAGTATCTCCTGTGTACTTATTGTGTCACACAGGGTCGTTCTTTGTCATTCGAGTAAATATTTACAGCTAAAATGTATGCGTGTGTGTGTGTGTGTGTGTGTGTGTGTATGGTTCTTGTCATTACCTACCAGTGTATATCCGGCACAGCACCAAGATACCTGTGTGACCTCAATCAAGTGCACCAGCCTACAGGATCACTGCGATCACAATCCCAGCTTTTGTGTAGTGTTCCAAGATTAGGAACGAGTTCATAGAATGGCAGGAACACGAAAATAATGTTCTATATATTACCGACTGGTGGAAGAGGGCGTTGCACAGAACCGAAGCAATATGCTGAAATACAAAAAAAGGTTATGTAACAGATACTTCTCCGTCTGACATTACTGAGTATTATCAGAGCGCTTGAAGTAAGTTTCGAACTAAATACATGTGCTTCATGTACATTACGATTGTAGCGAATGTCGTATATTGGCAAAAATCAGAACAAGACCTTTCGTTGCAGTTTCTTTTAACGCCTCAGATATCGTTACAGTTCACCTTGGATTTGCTATTAAATGACATCCCGTTCAGTTGAGATAAACACATACGTACTACAATACAACCTCATACCAAGTGATGTATAGTAAGATTGCTCGAGGTAGCTAATAAGATCTTCCGACATGATGTCCTGGTGATATCAAAGAAATCCTTGATCGACAACCACATCTACTCCATCACCCCCATGAGCGCCAACTACATCCACTCCCTCAAAACGTTGAGCAGAAACTAAATCTGCTCCAACAGCGGCTGGACAACAACTACATTCACTGCACAGACATCGTAGTAATTCTCTCCAGTAAATGCACCATTGATGGTCTTAAGTCACCTTATGCTTAAACACAACTACATGGTCGTCAGATGTAAACCATAACTGGTCCAGAGAACTGACGTGACTTGTCAAGTTATATGGGTAGTTCTTATGAACAAACTTTGGTGATTGACGATGCCTCGAGATAGCTCATAAGATCTTCCGATTTGTTGTCCGGGTGTTATCAAGGACATAAATTTCAATTCCCTTCCAGTTTGTGAAAACAAAATAAATGTCCAGTGCAGTACAAATTAGTCTCGTGCATCATGTCTTTATAATATAAGTCTTTAGACCTTGATCATCATAATTGGATAATCACAAGATCGACATGTTTAATGTGCCATTTACATACAGATAATTCTTCAGGAGATTTTTAGGCTTTGGAGATGGCCTGGAGACATGATACTATATAAATACGGATGTCTCAGAATAATTCCAATACACTGGTCTTGATATACAGTTGGAAAATAATAAGGGAATGAATATAGAGAATCTCACCCGAGTGTCTTTTGATATCAAATATATCAACTCGAGTTGTAAAAATGGAAAAACTCGGAGGAGGCTTGCCGAGGACTTTTTTCACTTTTATCAATGAGTGTTGATATGCTTGATATGAAAAAAACACACGAGGGTGGGATTTTATTTGTCATCTAACATCATTCTTCCAACTTTTTCAATTTGTAGACAGTAATAAGCACTGTAAAAAGTACTGCTTACGGGAAGGGAAACCAGAAAGGGTTTCACACATTGTACCCATTTCGGGAATCGAACCCGAGTCTTCGACGTGACGTGCGAACGCTTTAACCACTAGGCTACCAAACCGCCCCTTCTGCTAACAGCTTCAGTAGCAGCGCTATTAGTGATCTCATTTGATGTCGCTTGTTCTCACCCAAGCGATTTCTCCTGTTGGAGCCAGCTTAAACCCCTTCTATACATCATCATTATTGCGGAAAATAAAACTCATTTATATCCAACCCTAGCTAATAATAGGCAACATTATATCCCATTTGGTTTGCCTGTTTTTTTTTCGATAAAAATAAAATTTATACCAGGAAAAGCTTGAAAGAAATAATTATGTTTCAGATTGCTGAAAAAATCACATTGCAAGCCACAAAAAAACCCATTGTTGCAAGATGTTCTGTATAAAAGAAATATTTAGGCTCATCAGTCTTAATCCAAAAACGATATCTCGTTCTGTAGCTGAAACAATACAAAATCCCAGACCATACAGATTATCAAAGGTAGGTCCGTAAGGGTCGCCATGCTTACCATCTGTTTATAAATTGGTAAACACAAGAAAGTTATCGCAAAACGCGGTGGGGACGGCTGCGCCTGCAACAACAATATTGATACACGCGCTGATGGTACAGGTTCGAAACAGAAGACAACGTTTAACACAGGCTTTAGTCATCAAAACATAACCAGTACTGAGACTAAATGAGAACACATGGTCCAATGTTGCCACTGGAACTTCTTCCGCCGTCCAGTATCTCCTGTGTACTTATTGTGTCACACAGGGTCGTTCTTTGTCATTCGAGTAAATATTTACAGCTAAAATGTATGCGTGTGTGTGTGTGTGTGTGTGTGTGTGTGTGTGTATGGTTCTTGTCATTACCTACCAGTGTATATCCGGCACAGCACCAAGATACCTGTGTGACCTAATTTAAGTGCACCAGCCTACAGGATCTCTGCGATCACAATCCCAGCTTTTGTGTAGTGTTCCAAGATTAGGAACGAGTTCATAGAATGGCAGGAACACGAAAATAATGTTCTATATATTACCGGGTGGTGGAGAAGGGTGTTGAACAGAACCGAAGCAATATGCTGAAATACAATAAACGTTATGTAACATATAGCATCTCTGTCTGACATTACTGAGTATTATCAGAGCGCTTGAAGTAAGTTTCGAACTAAATACATGTGCTTCATGTACATTACGATTGTAGCGAATGTCGTATATTGGCAAAAATCAGAACAAGACCTTTCGTCGAAGTTTCTTTTAATGCCTCAGAAATTGTTACAGTTCACCTTGCATTTGCTATCAAATGACATCCCGTTCGGTTGAGATAAACACATACGTACTATAATACAACCTCATACCAAGTGATGTATAGTAAGATGGCTCGAGGTAGCTAATAAGATCCCTCGACTTGATGTCCTGGTGATATCAAAGACATCCTGGATCGACAACTACATCTACTCCATCACCCCCATGAGCGCCAACTACATCCACTCCCTCAAAACGTTGAGCAGAAACTAAATCTGCTCCAACAGCACCTGGACAACAACTACATTCACTGCACAGACATCGTAGTAATTCTCTCCAGTAAATGCACCATTGATGGTCTTAAGTCACCTTATGCTTAAACACAACTACATGGTCGTCAGATTAAACCATGATTGGTCCAGAGACCTGACGTGACTTGTCAAGTTATATGGGTAGTTCTTATGAACAAACTTTGGTGATTGACGATGCCTCGAGGTAGCTCATGAGATCTTCTGATTTGTTGTCCGGGTGATATCGAGGACATCAATTTCAATTCCCTTCCAGTTTGTGAAAACAAAATAAATGTCCAGTGCAGTACAAATTAGTCTCGTGCACCATGTCTTTATAATATAAGTCTTTAGACCTTGATCATCATATTTGGACAATCACAAGGAACGACATGTTTAATGTGCCATTTACATACAAATATATCTTCAGGAGATTTTCAGGCTTTGGAGATGGCCTGGAGACATGATGGTATATAAATACCGATGTCTCAGAATAAGCCTAATACACTGGTCTTGATATACAGTTGGAAAATAATAAGGGAATGAATATAGAGAATCTCACCCGAGTGTCTTTTGATATCAAATATATCAACTCGAGTTGTAAAAATGGAAAAACTCGGAGGAGGCTTGCCGAGGACTTTTTTCACTTTCATCAATGAGTGTTGATATGCTTGATATGAAAAAAACACACGAGGGTGGGATTTTATTTGTCATCTAACATCATTCTTCCAACTTTTTCAGTTTGTAGACAGTAATAAGCACTGTAAAAAGTACTGCTTACAGGAAGGGAAACCAGAAAGGGCTTCACACATTGTACCCATTTCGGGAATCGAACCCGAGTCTTCGACGTGACGTACGAACGCTTTAACCACTAGGCTACCCAACGCCCCTACTGCTAACAGCTTCAGTAGCAGCGCTATTAGTGATCTCATTTGATGTCGCTTGTTCTCACCCAAGCGATATCTCCTGTTGGAGCCAGCTTAGGGTGGTAAATAATGTTATGTTCAGACAAGTCTTTGGTCTTATTATGTTTGGTGCCCTTGTGAATTACCAAAAGGCAAAGGTAGATATAAAACTAATTTTAGAAACAAATCAACCAATTACAAACGTTATATAGATGTCATTTAGCTAACAATGTTAAGTCCTTACAAATGACATGGAAACTGTTTTGTCCATTCAGGATAATTGAAAACACCATCATACCTTCATTTATTGACAGGTGGGCTGATGTCATTTCCTCCCCCACTCTGTAAGCATATTCCCCTGTATCAGGAGGATGGACGTCTGTGACAGTCAGCTGACGGCCCCTTCCATTGATAGAGATTTGTGTTTTGTCGGAATGAGTTAGTGTGACGTCGTCTCTGGTCCACTCACCGGCCTCCTCAGTGTCATCACGTAGCCTCAGTCTGAAGGTGGCCGAGTCTCCAAACATTACTGTGCTGTTCCTCAGACTAAGTTCTATACCTGGTGGCGTATTATGGAAACAATAAAAGTGTTTGTTAATCGTTATTTTCTAAGAATGTGATAAAATGGAAAATAGTTGGTGTTCTAAAGAGTGAGTGATTTTTTTTTAACACCGCTTTAAACAGCATTTCAGCTACAGTGTGTGTGTCAGCTTCGTATGGTTTTAAAAAAGTTGATGACGTCATATATTTAACCAATTTCCGAACATGATTTATCTATTCCCCAAAGACAACTTTAATTCCTCTCTTTTTAAAGATAGTTATCACAAAAAGTCAACCTCCCCTGATCATGATGTTGATAACAGAAACTGAACCCCTTCTATACATCATCATTATTGCGGAAAATAAAACTCATTTATATCCAACCCTAGCTAATAATAGGCAACATTATATCCCATATGGTTGGCCTGGTTTTTTTTCGATAAAAATAAAATTTATACCAGAAAAAAGATTGAAAGAAATAATTATGTTTCAGATTGCTGAAAAA